ACGTGTTTGTGTATGTGTGCGTCTGTACGCGCATGCATGCGTGCATGTGTAAGTACGCGCGCATGTGTGTTCAGGAGTATGTAATCAGGAGTATCTCTATTCATCTACTGTCATCTAAAATCATGAAATATATTTGTAAACTAATGTAGGTGTGGCCACGCACGCACACGCGCTGCTGCATGGTTACTGGTGAGTTATTTCTGCTTAACAGCAGGGTGTTGATGCTTCTGAAAGATTCTCGCGCAATTAGGAAGACCTAAGGCTAATGCTTCTTCGTAATGTCAAATACATCTGTCATACAGTGAGTCGTGGCTTACGCACACACGCACGCACGCACGCACGCACGCACGCACGCACGCACGCACGCACATAATGTAGGTAGGTGATCGACTGCATGGTTACCTTAGACTAATGCACCTGTCACTCGCTTTACACAGTGATGATATTATGTGAACCATCATGTAATCTCTCCATTGACACGAACCTTATCCTTTGTCAGCACCTTGTTCTTTCGTTCTAAAAACGTGATATGAAAGTATAAGAGCACCGTGTGCCTGCGGCCATTGATAACATACACCTAGAGTGTACAACGGAAAAACGGGAAAATAGTGCTATTTCACGGCAATATTATTCTACTTTGCTTGCGAGTCTAGAATAATTTTATGGTATTGCATTAAGCAGAATTCTTTGCTCTCTATAACAAGACCAACCGCTTGTCAATACGATACTCTTAGGCTGAGATATTGGCTCGTAAACTTCCCCTCCCACAGGCCTCGCGGCGCCTCGCATCCACAATATTCACTATCCTTCTCGCCTTTTGCGGGTTATTAGGAAAGTCGCTTCGTGATAGTTCGGTTTTTTCCGCGATAACTTTATGAATGACCGGCGTTTCGGTTATCTTCGGTGACTTTCGGGGGCATCGCCTATGCTCTTATCTCCCATTATCTTTTCTAGCACAGCTAATGCCGGTCATGATCACAGGCACTTGAAACGTTTCAATAAAATATAATGCTAAATAAATACGAAATCTAATAGTAGATACTAGTAACTACAAATTCTTAATGTCTATAAGGCGCGTACTCTCTTTCAGTTTCACTATTATGCCCGCCGACTAGTGTTACTGTCAATGTCCGTGAAATGCTCTATGCACACACACTAATTCGCCAGTTGCTCAGTGTGCAACAGTGACTGTTTGAATTATATATATTTGGGTAGACGCTGAGTGTGCGCTACGACTGTGAATATCTGTAATAGACTACAGAAGAGAGATAGCGACAAGACACAGAAGTAACGTTCACGAGTGCTTTATATCTAGTATCTGCTAATACATACATAAGGTCTGCAGTGCGCTAACGATAGAACAGCAATACAGTGCATAGTAAACCGCGTATCTTGCGCAACTTACACCTTTCTCAACTACGTCTCGATAGATAGAAGCCTGAGTAGCCAGCCGCTTCCCCTTTATATTCCGCAGCGCTCACGCCAGTCCGTGGCCTCGCGGTCCCCCCCCCCCCCCCCCCCCCCCCCCCCCCCCCACGTTTCCTCCCTACGTCAACAGATCCTCTTTAGCCTCCAACTCTGACCAACCGGACGCCTCCCGAATATGGTAAGAGTGTGGGATCTGGCTACCGTGCTATCGCATTCGCTAAACCTAATATGGTTTGCGGATTGCGTGTGGCGGCACTTGGGTCAAGTTGCCACGACCAATTCGGAACCAGGTGTCAACGCGGCCCAATATATCGGTCAAGCATAACGTTACCCGCATGGGTCCCAGCCCGCGTGCCTGTCAGCACCTCCTGAAGATTCAATGGACTACTCATTCCCAGCCTAGCTGGCGCAATTCGAGTCGCTCTCTTTGATCTTCGTGCCGACCGCGACATCGCCCGGCTCCTGTGTCATGCATTACCCCAACACCATTCCTACATAACCGACACACCATCTAAACCTTCCACGGTGTGTGTCGTTTGCTCGCCTAACAAATATAGTGTATAGCGTGCAACAGTCGCGCCGCGAGAGAGCTGGCATCCGGCAGCTGTAATGTGGACGTGGAATGTGGACGGAATTTACTAGGAAATTGTTGGCTAATAAATGGTGAAAGAGAGTAGGCCTATAGGCTATAGAAACATTCGTATTTAGTTAGCATTATATTTTATTGAAACGCTTCAAGTGCCTGTGGTCATGATGGAGCCGGCAATGTTTTCTAAATTAAGTCTCTACAACGCAGCTCAGTTACTATATGGTGTAGTAAGAGTACCAAATTTGGGCATGTGACATCAATTATCAGCGCTCCAAGCGGCGACGGAAAACGATAGCCAGACCCGCAAAAGGCGAGTTCTAAGCATAGTGAATATTGTGGATTCGAGGTGGCGTGAGGCCTGTGGGAGGCATGATTACGCTCCAATATCTCGGCCTAGGAGTATCGTAGAGGTTAATAATGACAAATCATGACATACTTTGAAACAAAGCGAGCGGTATGCAAAGTTGGCACTCTGACCACACTCACCCTTTTCCACCTGCTCTTCAATCAAATGAGCGTACTCTCTGCACAAACCTATTGCTGTTTACATGTATGGAGCGTGAGAGAAGGGAAGACAATGGTAGTACTGTAGTATTATTCCTCTTGGCGGTATACAATATTGCTACCATTTGGTCATTTGCATCAAGGGGGCCATCATTGTAGGTTGCCGCAGAAGGAGTGTTCACGTCGCAGCCACTGTTAGGTTTCCCACCTGCGAATCATCCTTCTACCACACTACACTACTACAACTACTACTACTACTATTACATTTGCATCAAGGCGATGTCGTGTATAGGTTCTTAACCGTAGAAGATTTTGACTGTGAGTTGATGGAAAATAAAGAATGAAACCATATATACCAAACCAAATGAATGTACCTTACATGCATGTCCATTTGCTGTATATTCCGAAGCTTCTAAACGGCTTTTGAAATACTAGGGGGAATGTGTGAAATAAAATGCTGTGGTCTATGAAACATTTGAACAATTATGGAAATTCGTTGCTTTGGTCACGTGTCATCATTTCGTAAATAAAGTAGTTACATTTTGTATGATTTATGGATTAGAAGCCATGCAAGTACACATGTTATTGTGTGCCTGCCTTCCTATAGTCGTAAGCTCATGCATGAACACAAACGATGAGTATATAATCATCTTGGTTAGAACAAAACTCCTTATTGGAATTGGAATTTTAGCATATGTCTTTCCTCTCGGGAAGCCCTATACGCTTCTATGGAATATTTACTGATATGCTGTGCCAACATAAAAATATCTGCACACGATTGCATTCACAATATGTTATCAGTACATGACAATAAGTGTAAGGTAATAAGACCTATTATAATAATATAATAAAATCATAAATACAAATATATGCCATGCCATAAACATAGTCACTAGCCAATGTTCTCCAACTGTGTTCATCATTCTTGCTCTTATGTGTAATATAATTAGGTTTACGTAGAGATGATGCTTAAATGCAGCATAACATAGTGTGTGTCTTAATTTATTCGAGATTTTATAAGATTTAATTGTCAGTTTTGTTTTTAAACTGAATTGTAAGCAATTAATCTCCAATTATTAGCGAAAGCATCTCAGTCTTTCAACCGTACATGGTGTTTGCTTTAATGAGCGTAATGTATGTAATTTTATAGTCATATTTGTCGGGGCAGTATTTTGAGTGTCGGGCAAACAATAGTACCCTCCAACGAACGTTCCCATTACAGTTGATAAATCAACATTTATATAACCTACACACATGCGTGATAGGCAATATTAACGCTGTAAAAATACGTTACATATTCTGGCAGCATCTAAGTCATTGTATGATTAGTGGTCATTGAGGTATAACAGCAGACGTCCCAAGTGTCCCGGTCTCACCGGGATCCTCCCGGTACGACATGCTGGTCCCGGTGCCACGGTATTAGTCCAGAAAGTCCCGGTCGTAACATTTTTCAGTCATATTTTAAAATGTATATCAGTAAATTACTAAATTTGCCATGGTTGTTGATGTACTTTGATATATTCCAGCGAACAATAAAAGGCCACAAATGTCAAACACATGTCAAGCATTTTTATTTTGAATTTTCATTTTATTTTACATTTATACTTTATAAAAAATGGTGGTGCGCCGCGACAAACACATGTCACAGCCCGCCACAACTTTTTTCCTGTTTTTGCGCACCGCGAAAAAACGGCGATGGACCATTATCACAAGTGATCCCTTTCTTGGATTTTCCCAACTGGATATGGACTTGACTATTCCCCCCCCCCCTCTGCATAACAGAAAGTTAGTTTCCCTCAACTTACACGAAGCAGAAGTAATGAAGAATGTTTACAATTGGTTTTAAAATTGTGCTACCAGCTTAAGTGTAACGGAAGATATGGCAAGTCGCACAGCTAGGACCAGGTTATGCTGTATAGTAAATGGGTCTAAGGGTCAGGAGCTTTAGCGTAATATCTACTGGGTGCCTGCGCATGCGCATGCTCTCAGGTGGTCTCTGTGTCATATAATCAATGTTTTTAATATATGATTTCCTTCTCAGTACGGCGTATATCTACAATATTCAGTGTTTCATTCGTTTATTCATTCATTTTATCAGGAGTTAAAATAAAGAGTAACTCCTGATTTTATGCATAGCACAAATTATCGGTTGCATTATCATTACAACTCCTAATATCTATGGATTTTAATGTGTTTGCATTACGTATATTGCATTCGATCTATTGCATCCATCTATACACCAACATCCCGGTGCAAATACGTTTAGAGGGAAGTTGGGCATGCAGATTGCCAAGTAAATTTTGTGCCCGCAGCTCGTACGTGCACAATTAGTTCACTCCAAATGGTTTGAAGCAATTAGTGGATTAGTTAACCGGAGTGGATGTGATGTTGCCGCTGCCATAGCTCGTCATAGTCACTGATATCGTAATTAGTGTAGGCGAGGACGGTAATTATAATGCGTGCTTCGTCTTCGTTGCAGGATGTTTGATCAGCCCGGACGCGTGCGTAGCGGGGGAGGATTGTATTGACGGTAAGTTCCCCCACTTTCCCCCGTGCTCTCACTATTCAGCATGCATGCAGCATTCATGTGTCCAGATTTTACTTCCCCGTTGCTTTTGTTGTTGCTCATTCATGATATATATATTATATATATATATATATATATTATCAGGAGTCTATCAATAGGAGTAAGACAGACTGAAACCGGCAAAATTCAACATTTAGTTGCCTTAAGTCTACCTATGATTTATTGTGTTTAACTCGATAAACTTGAGCTCAAATCTTACCTTAATCATGTAAAACTAATGCCGTGTCTAATCGTTGGTCTCACAAAAATGACAAAATCGGGAGATATCGGTCCAAACGTACAATGTGGTTTTTGAAAGTTATACCGCATTTTCAACAACTGTGAACCGAAACATAAGGGCAATGCTTTTGAAAGCCCTCTATCGCTTAGGCAATGCAAACATAGCAAAACAACTAGCGAGGTTTGCCAGGGATTCGGAAAGTTAAACCACGCCTTGTTTGTTATTATAAGGCCATGTCGAATGACAGTTAATTACATTAGAAACGATACTTGTTAAGAAAAAATAAAATGGAGTAAAAATACTAAACATGTGAAATTTTTTATTTCTAATGTAAATAGTATCAATAACACCAAGTCGTGTTTAACTTTCCGAAAGTGCCGCTGGCAAACCTCGCTAGTTGTTTGCTATGTTTGCATTGCTAAGCAATAGAGGGCTTTCAAAAGCATTGCCCTTATGTTTCGGTTCACAGTTGTTGAAAATGCGGTATAACTTTCAAAAACCACATTGTACGTTTGAACCGATATCTCCCGATTTGTCATTTTTGTGAGACCAACGATTAGACACGGCATTAGTTTAATGATTAAGGTAAGATTTGAGCTCAAGTTTATCGAGTTAAACACAATAAATCATAGGTAGACTATAAGGCAACTAAATGTTGAATTTTGCCAGTTTCAGTCTGTCTTACTTCTATTGATAGACTCCTGATATTATATCAAGAGCTAATAATACCTATATATATTTAGGTAATAGGTATTATTAACTTTTGATATTAGCTCTTATTAATTAGCTATTATTAATTAAAATAGTCTATTATTAGCTCTTGATATATATATATATACGAATGTCATATAAACAGAAGTAGATAATAGGGAATTCCCTATTATCTATACTTCTGATATAAATGTGTTCCCATTTCTCTCATAATACTAGGGGTGAATATAATGACAAACCTTGTCATTATTCACCCGAGATAACACACGAGTCATATGCCACTGAATCCTGGTCAGTATGTAATTAGACCAGGATTATAGACACGGATTCCTCTCATCTCTATAATGTACATATAGTCAGATGCAGCGTGTACAATAACATGAATGGCATTCGTAATGGCAATATCTGTCTATTCATGAAGAATGGCGGCATGGAAGTAAAATGGTTTCACCCATCGTTCCTATTTGACATTTCTAAGGCGAGATTGATGTGCTTTTCTGATATTGAAAGGATAGTTCTTCTCTAGTGACATATGTTCGCATCCAGGAGACCAAAGCCAACGCGTTATTCCTTATTTAGACGTGCTAGCTAGGGGTATTGTGTCTGTAGGCTACATTTTCAGTGCTATTTCTGTCACTTAATTGATCCCTCAGGCTCTTAATTATTTGGCTCGCTGTTTTAAACACGTTATTGACATACGCAATTGGAGAGGTGAAGCTAGTATGTGAATTAGACAGTCGATCGTACCTTTAGTAAACGTACTGAATTTATAGCGGATGTACTGTTACCTTAGAGTTGTTTATAGTATTGAGAACTGTGTAAAACCGCGACAACCCCTCGCAATGGTCATCAACATTAGCGACAGGAGCAGCAACAACAGATTCTATATGTTTGGCCCAGTCTATATTAATAGCCCATATTTATTGAGCCAATATCTATATTAATGGCCCAATCACACATACGCGACGCACGGCCCGTGCATTGAAAAAATGGAAAATAAGATCAGTGCGTCGTTGTGCGCCCAACTTTTGTCAGGAGTTGGGAGAAGCTAGCGAGTTGACAACGAATGCACAGCGTGTTGCTAGCGCGCTGCGCGTATACAGGGCACATACAGAGCGCATACAGAGCGTATACAGGGCGCATACAGAGCGCATACAGAGCGTATACAGGGCGCACATGTTAAAAAATCCAACGAATGCACAGCGTGTTGCTAGCGCGCTGCGCGTATACAGGGCGCACATGTTAAAAAATCCAACGAATGCACAGCGTGTTGCTAGCGCACGGAACGAATGGTCCGGGCATGCACCGCGCATTCAACGCACAGCCAGCGAACGGCAGCGTGATTATATGCATGCTGTGACAATGAGCTTGACGGTCTCGGGCTGCTGCTGCATCGTGCTCAGGAGAACTTGGAAATGGTTGGCCAGGATGCCGAAGTCATTTTCTACGACCCTCCTGGCTCGGGAAAGCCGTTAGTTCAAGATGCGCTACGGCCGCGTCATACCCCGGAGGCTGTACGGCTTCATCATGTTGGGTCGTAGGGTGAAGGCATCGTCGCCGACGAAGAAGTAGGGCACATCTTGGTTGTCGTTGGGAAGAGGATCGGGATCTGGGAAGCCTAGACTATACCATCTTCAATGCATTCATTCAGCTCAGAAGCATTGTAGATCTGAGCGTCTGATGCTGATCCCATACCGCCAATGTCTGCCCAGATGAACTTGTAATCAGCATCCACGAGCGCCATGAGGACAACAGAGTAGAACCTTTTGTAGTTGTAGTATAGGGAACCACTGTTTGGAGGACACTTGCAGTTGACGTGCTTGCCATCAAGTGCACCACAGGTATGGGGGAAGTTCCACCTCTCCATGAACTTGTCAGATATGGCACACCATTCCTCAGGAGTGGTGGGGCACTTCATCCCCTCATCCTTGTACTCATCGATGATGGCCTGGCACACTTCCGGGATGAGCAGGGATATGGTGTTGTGAGGCACCCTCCACCTATAGGATATTGAGTGATACTTGGTCCCAGAGGCAAGATGCCACAGCGTGAGGGCAATTAAGCTTCAGGCAAGGGTCGAGGGCCTCTCTGTAGGTTGTATTCTGCTTGGTGATCCTCGGACCCACTCTGGTTAGCAGCTCGTCGAACATCTCGGGGAGCATCTGCATGAAGTTCTTGAAGGCTGCCTGGTCTTCGTTACGGAGTTCAACAAGTAGCTGGTCATACAGGCCAAACTGTTGTCGCCTACCGATCCACGGTCGGACCCAGAACCTCCGTTGACCTCTTCTCTTTCTCTTTCTCCTGATGACATGGACTTGATGAAGTGCCAGTTTCATGAGGTTCTGCTGATGTTGGAGAACCGCGATTTCGTATTGTAGTCGCAGCCTGTCGGGATCCTCCATCTTCTGAGGTGGTTCTTCTAGACACAATCAGCAGGAACCTCTATTATCACCCATGAGGGTCGGAGGAGAAGTGATGATGAGGAGGTGGGGCTACACGCTGCGTACACGCTAGGAACACGCTAGAAGAACGCTGGGCGCGCTACAGACTCGTTCAGCACTCGTTCAGCACGCCCATGCATATTCGCTGCATGTTCGCTGGACATGCGTTAGAAGCACGCTAGGTGTGCGCTAGGTGTGCGCTACACCTCAGTCGACAAACATACAACGAGTACCCAGCGTGTGCTCCGCGTGTGTCTGGCGTTGGTCCAGCTCGCTCTGCACGTGTCTGGCGTCCTTCTGGGGTGTACATTCATGCGTCGAGCTCCGCGCACATTTTTGTGAAATCCCGACGTACACGATGAATGACAACGAATGCATAGCGTTGGTCCAGCGCGCTCGACGAACGATAACGAATAACGAGTAACGAATGCTGACGCACACCCAGCGAAAGACAACGCACCGGCCAAAATTGCTAATTTTTCAGCAGTAGTATATAGTCGCAATATAATAGCAGTACAGTCGTGTTACTGGCAGCAGCAGCAGTGGCGGTAACGGTAGTCGTGGTTTTGGTAATGATAGCAGTAGTGGTAGCGGCGGCAGCAGCAGCGGGCTAGTAGTAGTAGCAGTGGTAGTGGTAGTGGTCGTGCTAGTGCTAGTGGTAGCAGTAGTGGTAGCGGCAGCAGCAGCAGCAGCAGTAGTAGTAGTAGCAGTGATAGTGGTAGTGTTAGTGCTAGTGTTAGTGGTAGCAGTAGTGGTAGCGGCAGCAGCAGCAGCAGCAGTAGTAGTAGTAGCAGTGATAATGGTACTGGTAGTGTTATAGTGCTAGTGTTAGTGGTAGCAGTAGTGGTAGCGGCAGCAGCAGCAGCAGCAGTAGTAGTAGTAGCAGTGATAATGGTACTGGTAGTGTTATAGTGCTAGTGTTAGTGGTAGCAGTAGTGGTAGCGGCAGCAGCAGCAGCAGCAGTAGTAGTAGTAGCAGTGATAATGGTACTGGTAGTGTTATAGTGCTAGTGTTAGTGGTAGCAGTAGTGGTAGCGGCAG